AACCCTTTCATCACCCCTTATGGAACCCGGGGTTCATCAGGTTCTGCCTTCACTGAGAAATCCAACATCTCTATGCCACCACTGGGCCAACCTAGGCCAAACCTACAGAGCCCAGCCCATCTTGACAGCAGCAAGCAGCATCTCAATGAAACAAAGAACCACAACGGCAGGAACCAGAGCTCTGATGCAGACCTGGTTGACACTAGAGACCCATTAATGAACCTATGGTTGCTTCCAGGTTTGCTTGGATCATCATTGGCCTTAATGTGCTGCTGTGCAGGAATCCTGGCTCTTGGATGTTGTAGGAGACGAAAAAGAGGTAGATACAGGCCAGGACATGCAAGAGACACTGGGAGAGGGACTTTAATAAAATGTACCCTCCTTAAGGAAAAGGAATGAACCAGGAATACTGAATGGAATGAGTTCATTCTTAACATATAGTCGAATTACTTGCACTGGGACTAGATATTAAATTATAGCTGGAACAGAAGTATGATAACACAATTTTTTCAGCATTGGGTGACCAAAGAGGGACTGCGTATAAACAGCAATTTGGGGGCAACATTCTACTTGTGAATTAGTCACAATGAAAGCAAATGGAATCTCTCCCTAATTGCTCCATATTTATCAAGCCACATAAGTGCTATTTATACATAACCTCACTGTATCTGAATACACAACAGCTGTGTCATTATGTAACATGCTGCATATTTATTTTATTAATATTTTTAGGTTCAGGTAATTGTGCTCAGATACTCAATGTTGTTAGGCTGGGAAGAGTTGCATTGCCTCGTAGATATTACCAGTTTCTCAGTACAGCTTGGCTATGTTATTTGGGTCACATATCACATATATCTCCTTTTACAACCAAGCTGCGCATTACAAATACTGAAAATATGTTTGTTTGTTTTTTAAAAATTAAAAAATAGATTGTATTCAAACTGTTTCTGTCAACTGATTTGGTGGATACTGTTCTATCTCATGTTCCTTCATCCTGGTGTTAAGGGGCTTGCTTGTAACTGAACAGGTAATAGATCCCCTCCCCAATCAGGGAGGGGGGGAGGGAGCGCTTATCTTTTGTACAAGCCCTGTTCAATGCTTCCATTCTTCCCTAATGCAGTGTTTGTGTTCGCTGCTCCTGAAGGTCAACATGGCTGGAGCTGGCCCAAGAAAAGGGATTTTGTGTCCTCAGATTAGCAGGAGGTCACTAAATGAGCCCTGAAATAGTCAACAGCAGGAATTATACCACGGGCTGCGTCATCACACAGCCATCACGCATTACAGAAGGATTATGTCAGGAACTGACAAGACTAGTAACCTGCAACAATGGGACTAAGGGAGGTCAAGCACAAGCCAAGACTGTTCCACATCTGCCTCCCAGCAAAGGTGGTGCACATTAAAATAGTGAATTGAAACAACCTTTGCATATTTACACTGATGAAAGGAGTACAGAAATTAAGCATTTGTGAGACAAAGGCACCTGCAATTTGTTAATATGGATGTCAAACAACTTAGGTGACCACATTGAGATCTGCTGTTAAGTTAAGGCAGGTTCCACTGATAACAAGGGGTGGAGGTGCTATTCATTAACCCCTTAAGGACACATGACATGTGTGACATGTCATGATTCCCTTTTAATCCAGAAGTTTGGTCCTTAAGGGGTTAAACAGGGATCTGTGTTGAATTGAAAGCTGGATCACTGGCTATAATAACCAGAAAAGACAAAAAAAAAGACAATTAGGCGATTTTTCCCAATGCTATGCCACTATTTTGGCCATAAAGGGACACTGTAGGCACCCAGACCACTTCAGCCCATTGAAGTGGTCTGGGTGCCACCTGTCCATCACCCTTAAACGCGAGCATGTAATTATTGTAGTTTTCATAAACTGCAGTAATTGCCTTGCAGGGTTAAATCCTCCTCTAGAGGGACTTCCGGGTTCTTAACTTTTGAATAACAAAGAAGCACAGCCTTTGTGGGAGGAGCTGACCAAACGCCGAGGGACATCGGCGCTGTACCCAAGTAAGTGACAGAAGAGGTTATTAACCACTTCAGCACCCCTTCAGCACTACAGGAGGGGGCCTTGACAGAAGAGGAAGCTATAGTGCCAGGAAAACGAGTTCAGTTTACGGTTTAGTAAATAGTAAATAAACGTATTATTGGGGTCATTCACTAAATGGAGAATTGTGGTCATTCAAAAAGCTAAATTCAAATTAAAAGAGGCAAGCTGTAAACTTTGACTAGGAGAATTTATTTCATTGCAACCATAATTGCTGAAATATTGCAGTTCCCTTTTCATTCCACTGTTTAGTGAATAAACCCTTAGGAGTCTGCATAATATATAGATCGCTAATGCATATTTACAAGGATAATAAATTTGCAATGTATACATAGGATTTACTAAATTACAATGGATATGTGTTTGTCTTGCAAAAAGTGAAATCTTTTTTTTTTTTTTTTTATTACCGTAATAAAACAGTTCTTAGATAAGGTTTTTATTTTGTTTTGTGTTATATATATATATTTTTTTTTACCATTATGTCCTATATTACAGTTTAGTTGTAGAAAATATACATTATTAATGTTATTCTATTGTTAGGCAAGCTAAGGAAAAACCCTCTAAAAATTCAATAAGTCTAACTTACTGCCACTGGCTGACCTTAAGGTAATTCTCTTTCAATGCTAACAGAAAGGATACTCACACAGTAAATTAATTATTAGGAAATATGTTATGTATTAAATATATTGGGAATTATAATGAAAATATGCATTTTACTAAAATTTTGCTTAACCTGTTCTAAAGCACATGATGCAATCAGTCCTTTCCACCACTCATTGTAAACCTCTGTGTCAAGCCTCTGTATTTTCTATATACATTAAAAGTTATAAGACGTGGCACAAAAAAAAGTCAATCAAGAAAAGGGGTCAGCAACATGGTGAAAAAGATATCTGCAAGTCTTTTCGTTCCGAATGTAAATTCGGACACTTCAGAATGTCCGAAGTACGAATTATGCCGAAGTGCATCTTGACCAATAAACTATTTCCTGACACTGGGAGCCCTATAGATGTGTAAGTGGTTGTGGTGGCAATCCTGGTACTGGGAGCCCTACAGATGTGTAAGTGGTTGTGGTGGTTAGGGGTAGGGTTAGGGAGCCCTACGGATGTTCCGAATTGCCGAAGTGCCACATTTCTTTACTTACCTGAATTTCCAAAACTGAACCAAATCTTTTGCCCGTGCACATCCCAAGTGAAAAACATTCAAAAGATGAAACAGGAAATGTACATGTAAACATTTGTTAGATTCTCAACCATTTGAAAAGGAAAATATATTTACCTATTAAATAAGAAAGTTAAAAAGTTGAAGGCATCATAAAAAATGGGCATCAAGAGGTTCCATCATATGTTCATATGGTAATTCACTGAGCCAGCATCAAAAACGCAGGAGACCCTTGGAATTTCTGGGAGAGTTGGGATGTCAGAGGGATTGAATTCGATCTCCCAATACCTTGCTAAACATTTTAGTTCCCATAACGGTATGAATAATGAAAAACCTCTTGGTTATAGATATCATTGGTAAATCAACGAGAAAAAGAAATAGCTTAGTACAAACTGCAATCAATATCTTTAAGACGTCTTCCAAGACCGTACTTAACATTGACTTCATTTTTTTAATGTTTTGACATTTCCACCAAATCTGAAATAAAGTACCTCGTTTGGAATTACTTCTCCAACAATTGCTGGAATTTATAACAATAAATTTGTATTATATTGAAGAACTAGACACCATTTATGAACTATTTTTAAATCAGTCATATTAACACAATCACTTTTTAAAAAATAATCTAAAAGATCATCTTTTTATCTGGCTGAGCAACAATGTTGGGTCATACTCTGCTGTTACCTGTCGGAGCAAACATAGCAGCATTTAGAAAAATCATTAGTAAGTTTCATTAAATGTAATAAACTAAAACAAATTGATGACAGTTGTCCTTTAAGTGATTCAAGTCTGCACATATTGCTCTTTATTGGATAACTAAAAAAGGGCATCTGTCATGCCAAACACAATTGTATTTTATTTCTTTATAATAAAAATCTGAACATGCCTAAATGTATAGATTTATGTGTAGTTGAAAATGTATTTCCATTTTAATCTTTTTTTGCTTCTTAAGTCTTTACTGTTATGCCTGCAGCAAATGCAGAACACAAGCAGCTGTGGACCGAGCTGCACATCTAAGTGATATGACAGCATCCCACCACTCATAGCTTGCAAGTGTAGGCTGCATGAAGCAATTTTAGGAAGATAAGGAATGTATAACAATTGTTTCAATCATTGAAATAATTTCTAATATAACAGACATCAGTACTCAAACAGTGGTCATCATGGTTAAGTAATGTGGCAATATCAGATTCCATTGAGCAAATTTAGAGGTCATAGACATGTGGTTTTTCATTCATGGGCGATAATCATTTCATTTGGATAGTAGTACAATAATACCATGCAATCATGGGCAATATAGGCAGCTTGTATCATATAGAGATTTGTCAAATCAAGCTTGTCTGTGTCATATGGAAAGTTCTGTGCATGATAGTCTGAGCAGAGTTCTCAGAGATTAAGACTTGAGAAATTGGCTTAATATCTAACTTAGTGGAAGAAATGAGGGAAGGGGCCAACTGGAAATTAGAACTTTTTCTACCAATAGCAGACCTGTGAAACGTAAAATGAAAAGAGGGAAGGAAGTACTACAATGGTAAGAAATCTAATCTACTTTTTGGACGTCACCCTCACTAGCTATACTTCCCTAAAGGTGATCTTGTCATCTCCACAAGTTATTGATGGCAGGTTCTCTTTAAACCAGATGTTTAGAGACCAAATTAGAAAGTTAATAAAAATCCCTTTTTCTAATGTTCTATTCTCATGCGCAACAACTGACGTGTATAGCTGAAATGACAGAAAACTTACAATAAGTGTGGTTACTCCAATCATGAATGTCAAAAGTATTTGATATAAGCATTTTATTGAACAGTGGGCATTGATCACACAATCTGGTGGCAGCAGAAGGTGTAGTATGAAGTCAAGCAGTGTAAATGACTGCAAAGCCTCTGCAATTTAAAGCATTTTACCTTTTCTTAACCATGGACAAACTCAACAGCTGCACTTGCATGTTCACTGTCAAAAAAACACCCAAAATAATCTTTCAATAGCAAGAAATCTGGGAACACCTGTGAGCAGTATATACAAGAGGAACATTGACTTTTCAGAGGCTGGAGCAAATACCAATTTAAGTTGTCTTTTCTCCGAGCTTCCAATATGTAAATACTAACCTAAAATAAGCCATTTAAGCAGCAGTAACTTTTTTAAAATTTTGTATGGCAATACAAAGACATATAGCATACAATGTAAGGCAAATAAAAGGATAACAATAGTCAAAATAATGTGGTAAAAAAGTATTGTCATGCAGAATGATACAAATCAAAATAAGTGACAGTCTAAAAGACTACCACAAAAGAAAATAATAATAATAATGTATATTCAAACTATGACAATGAGAATTAAAAATGAACTTCGCTACAAAATTAAAAAAGGGAAACTTATAATGGGCCAGTTACACTAACAAACGTCTTCTCCCCCACTTTTTCGTCTCTTAGGGATTTTATACGTTGCATTCATGTACATAAGGACAGCTTAATTGTACTTTGTTTGTTCTACTTTATTACCTGTTGAGTGGATATATCTCCAGTCTTTTGTTTGGTAGCCCTGCATTCATGTTTCAAAGGAAAAGAGCTTAATAAAATGCTCCTCCAGCTTTAATATAACATATACGCTCACACTCTTCTGTTTAATTTTTTTCTACATGCTAATATTGTAAGCACTTTCTTGCTGAGTCAATCAAAACTGGTATGGGGACGAGAATAAATAAATACACCCCACAGCACAAGCCCCCATGGAGCAAATATCATAACCCACCCCCTCAGAGTCAGAGGGTCTTCATGGATTCATTGCTTCCCAGAATTCGTCATAAACATATGCAGGGAATGTTTTCCATTTCTCAGAGGGACACTGTAGGTACTATAATCATTTCATCGCATTGAACTGGTTAGATTGCCTGGAGTCTCCTGACACGCTGCCTTCATTCAGTCTTAAACTATTTGCGAGCAGTTTAACAGTGAATGAGGGTCTCTAGCTTCACATAGCTCTGCCCCACTGGAGATATGGCCAGGTCAGAGATTACACACTTCCTACTTGTCACAGCAATTCATACCTAATGGGTGCTGTGACAGGCTGAAAGTGGTCAGCCAATCACAGCTGCCCATTGCTGCTCAGTCTAATGTTTTTTCATTAGCACAGGCAGCACAGGGTTGATGAGCTGCAGGAACTCTTGTACAGGGAGTGCAGAATTATTAGGCAAGTTGTATTTTTGAGGATTAATTTTATTATTGAACAACAACCATGTTCTCAATGAACCCAAAAAACACATTAATATCAAAGCTGAATATTTTTGGAAGTAGTTTTTAGTTTGTTTTAGTTATAGCTATGTTAGGGGGATATCTGTGTGTGCAGGTGACTATTACTGTGCATAATTATTAGGCAACTTAACAAAAAACAAATATAAACCCATTTCAATTATTTATTATTACCAGTGAAACCAATATAACATCTCAACATTCACAAATATACATTTCTGACATTCAAAAACAAAACAAAAACAAATCAGTGACCAATATAGCCACCTTTCTTTGCAAGGACACTCAAAACCTGCCATCCATGGATTCTGTCAGTGTTTTGATCTGTTCACCATCAATATTGCGTGCAGCAGCAACCACAGCCTCCCAGACACTGTTCAGAGAGGTGTACTGTTTTCCCTCCTTGTAAATCTCACATTTGATGATGGACCACAGGTTCTCAATGTGGTTCAGATTAAGTGAACAAGGAGGCCATGTCATTAGATTTTCTTCTTTTATACCCTTTCTTGCCAGCCACGCTGTGGAGTACTTGGACGCGTGTGATGGAGCACTGTCCTGCATGAAAATCATGTTTTTCTTGAAGGATGCAGACTTCTTCCTGTACCACTGCTTGAAGAAGGTGTCTTCCAGGAACTGGCAGTAGGACTGGGAGTTAAGGTTGACTCCATTCTCAACCCGAAAAGGCCCCACAAGCTCATCTTTGATGATACCAGCCCAAACCAGTACTCCACCTCCACCTTGCTGGCGTCTGAGTCGGACTGGAGCTCTCTGCCCTTTACCAATCCAGCCACGGGCCCATCCATCTGGCCCATCAAGATTCACTCTCATTTCATCAGTCCATAAAACCTTAGAAAAATCAGTCTTGAGATATTTCTTGGCCCAGTCTTGACGTTTCAGCTTGTGTGTCTTGTTCAGTGGTGGTCGCCTTTCAGCCTTTCTTACCTTGGCCATGTCTCTGAGTATTGCACACCTTGTGCTTTTGGGCACTCCAGTGATGTTGCAGCTCTGAAATATGGCCAAACTGGTGGCAAGTGGCATCGTGGCAGCTGCACGCTTGACTTTTCTCAGTTCATGGGCAGTTATTTGGCGCCTTGGTTTTTCCACACGCTTCTTGCGACCCTGTTGACTATTTTGAATGAAACGCTTGATTGTTGGATGATCACGCTTCAGAAGCTTTGCAATTTTAAGAGTGCTGCATCCCTCTGCAAGATATCTCACTATTTTTGACTTTTCTGAGCCTGTCAAGTCCTTCTTTGACCCATTTTGCCAAAGGAAAGGAAGTTGCCTAATAATTATGCACACCTGATATAGGGTGTTGATGTCATTAGACACACCCCTTCTCATTACAGAGATGCACATCACCTAATATGCTTAATTGGTAGTAGGCTTTCGAGCCTATACAGCTTGGAGTAAGACAACATGCATAAAGAGGATGATGTGGTCAAAATACTAATTTGCCTAATAATTCTGCACTCCCTGTATATCTTTAAAACATGACAAAACGGTTTGACACTGAATGGAGGATAACCGCATGGGACTCCAGACACTACATCAACTTTAATGAGATGAAGTTACAGTGCTATTTTAATGGAAAACACAGTGTGGTGCAGAAGAACTTGGAAATCATGAAACTAAATAGAGGATATGTTTAAAAGGACCACTATAGGCACCCAGACCACTTCAGTTCAATGAAGTGGTCTGGGTGCCAGGTCCCTCTAGTTTTAACCCTGCAGCTGAAAACATAGCAGTTTCAGAGAAAAACTGCTATGCTTCAATCGCTTCCGCGATTCTAAGACGCTGGAAATCCATAGGAAAGACGCTGGAAATTCTAAGATTCTAAGACGCTGGAAATCCATAGGAAAGCATTGAGTAATGCTTTCCTATGGGCGGTTTGAATGTGCACGCGGCTCTTGCTGCGCATGTGCATTCGGATCTGACGTCAGCAGGAGGAGCAGAGGTCACCAGCGCCGAGGGAACCCAGCGCTGGAGAAAGGTAAGTGGCTGAAGGGGTTTTAACCCCTTCAACCCAGCGGGAGGGGGGAACCTAATGACCCTATAGTGCAAGGAAAAGGAGTTTGTTTTCCTGGCACTATAGTGGTCCTTTAAAGGAACACTATGTCACCAGACCACTTCATCTCAATGAAGCAGTATGGATGCAGCGATTCCTTAGTTCTAACCCTGCAATGTAAAACAAGGCAGTTTTTTTTTTTTTTTTTAGAAACGAGTAAACCTGGGAATAAAATTATCTTGGGGGACGACAGCATGCTTGTTAACATCAGTGGAGGCGGAGCGGGAATAGAAGCTGCAGTGGAAACAAAGTGAGTAATATTTATTTTACTTCATTTTTACAGGGCAAAGAGGGTGGTCAAAAGGGAAACTATAGTGCTGAAATAACAATTGTTATTTTCTGAATAGGTTCCCTTTAAGATCCACAAATACAAACAGTACTAAGGATGAGACAAGGAAACAATACACAACCCTCATAAAAGGTTTTAAGTTACTTACAAAATGAAGGAATTTATTTGAAAATGCATTGAACTAAATATTTGGCATGAGATAAGTGAAGAACCATAGATGTTTACTCCATGCAATTGTCAAGATGAGCTTCAAAAGATAACTAGAAATACATTTCAGAGAGGTTTTTATGGAAGATTATTGTGTAGATTCTATATTCATGACATTTTTCTCGCACATTCAAGTCCATGGCAAAGTTCTCACGGTGATGTGAGACATGTCAGAAATCAACCAGCCATAGCTCTGTAGTACTTGAAGATTGTTTATAAGACTGTACAGTCTTACATTGTTCATAACCCGTGAAGATTAGAGCTGGGTTCACTGATCATCCAATATGCAATGTCCTCAAAATTAATCTTTGGATACCTTGAGGGCTGTAATTTATGCCAGGCCTAACATTTTTTTTACACTTTCCTTGTAGGAATTTACACTCTCCTCATTTTCTCCCTCATTACGTAGTCTCAGAACAGCACTGCGGTATTCTTGGACACTGGGAGACTGTAGGACTTCTTCTTTGGTGAGAGGGTCACTACCTGCCTTAAGCAAAGTCTGAAGGACATTTGCTTCTGACTTGCTGCCCTCCCACACATATTCTTCCATGTCACTCTCTTCCTTTTCGCTTTCCCAAGCCTCTGTTTTCTGAAACAACAAAGTAGACTTAAGCATACAAACGATGCACTGTATCCTTAAACTTGCATACTGTACTCAAATTCACATTTGGAAATAAACAATATAGTAATATTTAAGAATTGCGGGTTTATGGAATATACACAAATATCCAGCATAAAAAAACCTATAGGAGCAGAAAAATTGGTTGAGATTTTAAATCGCATCTTAGTTTAAGGAAGCTTCAGTGTACAAGATACAAATCCTTTGGACATGCTGTAAACACAGTAAATTCAAGATGAATAATCTTACTTAATGGAATCCCTGTTTGCCAACAAGAAATGTGTATATTTGAAAAATAACTATCAGTTATTTCTATTTCATTTCCATATTTTTAATCAATACACTACTTCATACATACAATCTAAATAATACAGCTGGAAAACAGAAATGTAATTAACCAAGTACTGCTAGGTACCACAAATACAGCAGGTAAAACAGCATGAAACATTTATTTGTCTTGCATAAAAAATCCTGGAACCCTTGAGCCCTTTAAACACAGCCTAGTACAGCTCTGGGTCATATGAGTAATTCTTACAGTAATATTTTGTTATTTTTTTTGGTTTTTCTGTTCTAGGTACTTTGTACTATTTTATATTACTTTCTTACTATTTTATGTTACCAGTATCTACTTGATTTAATATATGGTTATATAAATATTTTATATACATTTTTAATCACTGTGGCACTGCTATACATTTCTTTCTTATATATGTTTATGTTTTAGAGTGTTGGAGAAGCACTTTGATAGATATATATCTATCTCAATCAGTTTGACACGTCAGTTGAGCACTAATATATATATATATATATATATATATATATATATATATATATATATATATCTAATAATTATATTTGAAGCACCTTGCACACTTTTTCTTTGTTAATACAGATTTTAAGACTTAACGCATAATTGCTCGATCTCTGGGGAAATCCAGGAGAATCCATATCATATAAAAAGCCAACACGACAAAAAGAGATGACATACAGGTTAATTTCTAAGAGGTGCTCATCCCCAGGGATTCCCACCCACACTGCAATAGAAAGATCGCCCAGATCATGGAAAAATCACAAGTGTCAGAAAGGCTCATGAAATATGCAACGCAATCAAAGGCAATTCATCAGATGAGGAGCCGCTGAAATATTAACGAGTCACTGAAAGGTAATGAAAGAGCTGGGAGGTTTGTGTACAGGGAACGGCCTCAGATCGGGTGGCACATGCCAACTACAGACTGAGTGCAGTACATTGTGCTTAGCAAGAATTAGGATAAATCAACACTAACATGCTTCCCCTGCACTTCCAAAACATAGTAACCTTGTGCCTGCAGCACTGCATGCAATTTAGAAGATTAGACTTGTTCATCAAATTTAGTATATCGGTTCTTGCATAAAAAGCAAAGAACCTTACAAGTGAATTCATTTCTAATTATTTATTATTTAGGACGTTCATCAAAAAAAAATAAAAAATTCCAGTCTGTAATTCTCATAAAGAGTGTCTTTTAAAAAAAAAAAAAAGAAAAACAAATAGGAAGCTTATAATGCCTGTAAAAAAAGTTAAACATTCCATTAACTTCAGTATATCACGGAGATAAAGCTGCATATTCCCGGCTTTGTAGACCTCCACTCACAAAGAGAGCTAAAGAATATACTGCATAATGCGTGGTAAACACTTACCCATGATTCATGGTATAAGACAGTTAGGAGGTACATAGCATAATCTTGATTCTGTCTTCGAAGAGGACATCTGAAATAATGAAGAGGAAACAGATCAATACGCAATACTTAGTGAAGCAATGATTTTGTATATGGACTGTCTTTCTCCCACCTCCCCCATGGTAAAATACAAAAACATTCTTCTTTCTAGTTGCTGTCATAGTCTCACTCTCTAAGCCCACAACCAAAACTGTTGCCAGTGTCAGTTAGCAGGGTCAATACACTTTTACACAACCAAAAGAGAAAGTGATGTAACTTTCAATACATCAATCAACTTTGCAGGTAAAAAACACAAAAGTACAAGTTCATTTTGACCTGTACCTACAACGATGGACATCAATGAGAAGATATCTCAATCACAAGAGCATTATGAAAACACGAATATTCAAATTTGCTACTGCTTTCCAGCACACAATGAAAAACAAAGTATATACATATTTCGCACATCCAAGTGCATATTATTACAAATTATTTCTAATCATAGTCCTGCATGCCACCTCGATTAGGAATTTGTGTACATTTTGTGTTTTCCTTTTTGATACTTTAATTTTTATCCAGTTGTAAATGACTTTAATGACATTCTGTGATTACAGAGCCTTGTATTAATTTTATCCATATTCATACACTATAAGCAATAGATAAAACTCCCAAACATGGTCACCAAGATTACAAAAAGGTATACTTATATAGAGGTGCACTAAAAAAGAACTTACTGCTGATATCTAACACCAGAACCTATCTATAAAATGATCCCCCTCCCTTTCACCTAATTGCTGGAGATCCATTTCTCTGTAGGGAATGCGCTTATACTTTTTGGTGGATTTCCCCTTCTTTTCACCCATAGTAAAGACAAATGCAATGTCTCCTACAAAGAGTGTGAAGTATGCATGCATTACACCACAATTTTTTTCCTTTTTTTTTTCCATTTCATTATTTTTTGAAAATTTATCACAATAGACAATAAGACTTACATTTAAAAATATAATCAAAAGACAGTACAACCATAAATACATTTTGACAGTTCTAGCGCTCTAAGATACCAATTTTTTAATTTATTTCCCTTATCACCTTATTTATAAATTAGTCATCATACTAAATTTAGTGTCTTCACTTCGACTTGAGAGGACCTTAAATAGTTATTCACTGTCTATGACAAACAATGTAAACATAAAAACATACAAACATAAGGTCATACTGTGCCGAGATCTATAAATCCTAACAGATAGTGCCCATTTTCTCTTACTTTCTCCTCCTTTTTTTTTTTTTTTAATAAAATGTAGGCTATAAATAGCCATTAGACAGCTTTATATTGAGATGCAAAATATAGAAACATTAGAACCATATGAACATATCAACAATGTTAGGTCTGAGATATAGAATTATTAAAACATATTTCTAATCTGTCTCTATATTCATTAGTTATTTGTCATACTAGATTTATCGTCTTTACTTCTTCTCAAAAAAAATTAAAGTTATTATTCACTACCTATATTTAACAATAAATGTCCAATATACATACTGTACCAAGATCCAATAATAGATACAATTGTTTTTCTTATGTAAAGCTTATTTTTTTTTACCCATTCCTCCCATTGTTCTGTTCTAGAATTAATAGAATTATCTTGTCTCAGGATTCCAATCTCCATTTTGCAATGGTTCAAGACCTGATATTTTATCATATCCCAAGAGGGGGAAATCAGATCATTTCCAGTATCTCGCTCATGTTGCTATATCTTTTTTACTTCTTGAGATTCTAGGCCAGCCCAGATGTAGCACAAAAGACCTACAAGTAAAATCTAGATCTACTTTTATCACCTCTTGACAGAATTTTGCAACTTTATTCCATAAATTGACTTAAGTTTGTGCAAGACCACCAAATATGGACATAGTCTGCTCTAAGTGAGCCACATCTCTAACACTTACGTTGAGAGAATGGGTATATTTTTGCCAATTTAGTGGTGACATAGTGCCATCTATTAATGATCTTATAATGACTTTCAGTTGAATTTAAACAATGAATAGCCTTAGTTACAGCATTATTTGCATTTATCCACTCATTTCTTGTGATAGTAATCTGTAGATCTTTTTCCCATGAAACAAGGGCTGGGAATATTGGACTTGATTTATATAATGTATGTAATTTAGCACAATGTGATACTAAATTTTTATTACTTTTAGAATTAGATTCATGAATAGATGTAATCCTTCAGATGATTCTATAACCCTATGTTTATATAAAAAAAATGCTTTATCCTTAAATATGTCAAATTCTCTCTATAGGGAAAAGAAAATAACTGCCTAATGTCCTCAAAAGACATAATTTGATTCTGTTGCAATATTTGATCTATTTTATTAATACCATTAGACGTCCAGGTTTTTACATTTAAATCTTCTATATTGACTGTCAAAAATGTTGAGAGGTAAATCCGTGATAATATTATCCAGTATCTTAAGTCTCTTTTTCCAATTTTTCCACTGCAATAATAAATTATCCATAATTAGGCCTATATTTATGTTATTTCTTTTTTGTAGGCTCCAAAATATAGCTAATAAGTCTGGAGATCCCAGTCTTGTAGCTTCCATTTTTGCCCATGCTTCCTCTGCAGAGCTCTCTTTTAACGATATAATTAAATGAGCCAATGCGCATGTCTCATATGTCTCTAGAATGTCCGGGACCCCCAACCCACCCTTTTTTGAATTCATATTTAATATTTTTTTTATTCACTCTTTTTTTTTCCCAGCCATATAAACTTCTCAAAAGCTGTCTATCATTATAAGCCATGGTTTTGGAATTTTAAGAGGTACCATGCGGAATATATAGCTCCATTTGGGCAATAAGTATGATTTTACAACATTTATTCTTCCAATCCATGATATCTCTGCAGTTCTTAAGTTGTTTATTTGTTTCATCATAGGAAGAATATTATTCTCTATAATTTTGTTTGGGTTACTTGTTATTTTAATATATAGATATTGCAAATATTTCTTAGCCCAAGCAAAGTCATATTTATTCCCAATCTTTCCTCTAGCTTCCTTACTTAGATTTTTTGCTCATACAGTTGTTTTATCTACATTCAACTTGAGATTAGAGTAGTTTCCAAATTCGGTTATAACTTTCATCAATTCATCCAATGATGGTACTGGATCTGTGATGGTGATTAGGACATCGTCCGCATATAGTGATAATTTGTAGTCTTCTTGACCTATTCTAACTCCTTTAATCTTTAGGTTTTCCCTAATTTCACAGGCTAAGGGTTCGATAAAATAAACAAATAAAGCAGCGGCGAGAGAGGACATCCCTGTCTTGTCCCGTTGCTTATTTTAAACCAGTCAGATATTATACCTCTCCCTATAGTTCTAGCTCTTGGGTAGGAATATAATGCCATAACAGTATCCATTAGACATCCACCAAAACCAAAACCCTTCATAGATGCTATCAGGAAGTCCAACCTGACCCTATTAAAGCAAAATATAACGTTATGGTTAATATGAAAAATAACCGTGTGTTAGAGAACCTAGTATTGCTGCAGTAAACCACTCTACTGGAAAAATAAGGATTCCACTAAAAAATCCTTAATATTGCAAAGTAAAACAAAAAATATATCAGATAAAAATCTAATAAAAAATCCAGGAATGGTTAACGTGATATACCTTTAAATCTCTTTAGAATAGTGGTAAGACTAGTAATAATTCATTACTTACTTAAAATTTCATAAAAAAATATATCATAAAAAGTATATATATTTTGTGCAACAGATCATTCACAGTAATATCCAATAAATAACAAAACAAAAAAAAGAAGAAAAGGAAATAAATTGTCCAATTGATAACAGTCTTGTAAATAGATACTATGTATCAAATAGTAGCAGCAGTCTTTTAAATTGTAAACTGACTCAGTTCACTCCAGTTATAGAAGAACTGGTATATGGATACTGAGTGAGTTAGTATACTGTGTGTACAATATTATATTATAAATGGTCCTATTTTATAATAATAATTGTACCCTTGTAAAAAGTAATAAATAGATATAAAATATCATTGATAGGTCATAGTTGATGGCCCTCAATAAAATATATGTTTAATTCACTATTAAAAACTGAAGTGCTGAAATGGTTAAAAATATTCAATTTTATTTGAAAAAATCAAATTAAAAGTTATATTAGGCACTCACACTTTGATATCAAACTTCTTGCCCGGTTGCAGTTTTGGAACCTGGTGTATACAGTTGTTGCAGTCCGATCGTCAAATAAATGGAAGAGCTGGCTCTCCGTGAGCCTCGTGTGTATCTTTGTTTTCTTCCTTCGTTCGGCGGCAATTTAAATTCCACTAGGTAATCTTGTTACTGATGTGTAACATGTAATAGTTGTGAGTGCCTAATATAACTTTTAATTTGATTTTTTCAAATAAAATTGAATATTTTTAACCATTTCAGCACTTCAGTTTTTAATGGTGAATTAAGCATATATTTTATTGAGGGCCATCAACTATGACCTATCAATGATATTTTATATCTATTTATTACTTTTTACAAGGGTACAATTATTATAAAATAGGACCATTTATAATATAATATTGTACACACAGTATACTAACTCACTCAGTATCCATATACCAGTTCTTCTATAACTGGAGTGAACTGAGTCAGTTTACAATTTAAAAGACTGCTGCTACTATTTGATACATAGTATCTATTTACAAGACTGTTATCAATTGGACAATTTATTTCCTTTTCTTCTTTTTTTTTTTTTTTTTTGTTATTTATTGGATATTACTGTGAATGATCTGTTGCACAAAATATATATACTTTTTATGATATATTTTTTATGAAATTTTAAGTAAGTAATGAATTATTACTAGTCTTACCACTATTCTAAAGAGATTTAAAGGTATATCACGTTAACCATTCCTGGATTTTTTATTAGATTTTTATCTGATATATTTTTTGTTTGACCCTATTAAAGGCCTTCTCTGCGTCCAATGACAGTGCCCGAAATGGGACCCCTGAGTCGTTAGTGCGGTCTAGAATATCAATTATTTTTCTCACACTATTGCTGGAGAGTCTACCTTTTATGAAGCCAACCTGATCTTTATGAATTAGGTAAGGTAAGACGGTTTGCATCCTGTTAGCTAGGATGCTAGCATATATCTTTATATCCAAATTTAGCAGAGAAATAGGTCTATAACTCTTTACTTGATCTGGTGGTTTATCTGGCTTATGTATAGGGATAATATTTGCATATAGCATTTCTTCCAGGATGACTTTTTCCTCCACAATTTTGTTAAATAAATTTTTTTTAAATGGAACACCAATTCTTCTTTAAATTGCTTATAAAATATATATTTTTTCTTTTTAACTCTATTATTCCCATAAATTTCCCTCCCACTCATTCACACGTATACACATATTACTGGCAGCAAATAAATATTAGACTTAAAGAAATACTCCATAACCACTACAGCCTGATAATTGGTTGTGCAGGACTATGCTCAATGGGTCGTCACAAGTTCAGTCTAACGGGATGTAAGGATTGCATACCTGTCAGTCCGAATAGTCAACGTATCAGAGTCTTTGTCGTATCGAGATCCGACAAGTTTAATGAGCTTTTTCCTAGCATGATCATCCAGGTTTAGATTGGAGAGTTTCACCTGAGAGAAAAGGAGAGAAGAATGAACTTTAAGCAAGATGGAGAAGAAAAGAGGGCAATGTGTAAAATGTATTAAATGTCCAATTAAAATATATTTTATTTTAATACACAGATCCATATAAAAAAGGATGTCAATTGACAAAACAATGGCTGAACTGGAGAATGTTTCTGGGTAAAGAAATTGAACAATAAACTAATAATATATATATATAAAAATATTATTATTTATAAAAGCACCAACAGACAGCGCTGTACAATAGGATATATATAACAACGAAACAGCTGTCCATGAGTGGTTCACTGACTATGCATTTCTTCCTGAGTTGTATTTCAAAGCAGTTGTATACAGCAAACAAACGTTTAAAATGGAACTATGAGGCAAAAAGGTGATTCTTTGTTGAAAAGCAAATCTTGTGCCTTGACTGGTGTTTGCCGATCTGTGTTTAACAAAGTATTGACATGTATATTTTTTTATAACGCTATGGGGCTGTCACCCTATTTTCCTTTGATTTCACAGAGGACAAACAACTCTAAGGCATCTTAAGGTTTTGCAGTGAGGACTTCTAACATCCTCATTATCCATCCAAGTACTTCTACAGTAAGAGCATGCAGGGTGTACCTACATGATTCAGCTGCACCAAACATCTGCAAGTCCTTTCAGCTTCACCTTGATCATTGCTTTTGCAGCCAACACGCAAAACTCCTCTCGAGAATATAATGCTTCAGATATACCCTGATCCATCTGATAATTCTCACTGGGGTTTATTTACTGAACTCGAAATTATAGTCAATTGTGTTTAGGGAATAACACAAAGTTATTATTCTGGGATAAATGCAAGATATCATGGCTAGGCTCAATTAATTCCATTTTCTGTGAGGAAATTTGAGCCAGTGAGAATTCAATGGGTTGATATTGAATATGACTTATGTGGACTGCACTATTTAGTTTCTCTTCTCTGTGGAAGTCTCCCTTCCTTTTATTATCTCTAACAATTTAAAGAAACTCTCACTTCTCTTGTTCCTATCCTCAATAATCCAGCATTTGTCGCAGGCAGTTCCAGGGGCAACAAAGCAGTTCTTAGGAAGGCTATATAACAATGGCAGTCAACGACTGTACTTAGGGTAACTTACGGCTCATTTACAATTCTTTCAATAAATAGGTGCCTTTAGCTGTTACAGGTAACAGCCAGTCACATTCAACAGCTAAATATTACCACCAGGTTTACAATTTTGGTAAATATGTGTAGCCTATTGCTAACAAAAAAAAAATATCTGCTGAAACAGATACTAACCAAGTACATATTAGCGGCTTGCTCTAAAAGCACAGAAACACACATGATGATGCATTTCATCCTATGTTACCATTAGCAACAGTCAAACAGCAGTTGGCCAGTAAAACTTGTTGAAAGAGTCAGAACAAGACTTTGTTTATGTAGGATGTATAAGGTTTGAGCTGTCATCAACCTCTTTACATTAGGTCAGAGGCTGGCTTTCTGGGTTGGCATCCAGTAAGGAGTAGCAACAAGGTTGGAAAAACGGTAGCCAAGTAGAGGTTAGCAGCTCCCAAAAGAATAAAAGCAGTTAATAATTACTTAGCACCTGACATTTAGTGGCTGCCTGTCGCTACTGTTAAAATTTAGAAGTCAGTAACCAACAAAGAGGAAAACGAGCTCTTAGTTGTCAAATATGCCCCCTTATCCCTTGGATACTTACAGGAGACCTATATCATCATTTGAATAAGATTCAACATTTTATCATTTCAGTTGTAGTCATCAACACTCTTGCAAAGTACCTATTTAAAAGACTTTGTGCCAGAAAAGGCAGGGCTACAAGTGTAATCTCAAATATAAACTCTGTTCTGGACAGCAACCCATACCCCTGTTTATATCAGTCTCTGTGGGAACTGGATATTTGCGGTTACATTTTGCAAACAAGACTGGAACTTATTATTTAGAAACTCACCACTTGTATTTTGGTCATGGATAATGGTGTTAATAACAAAGGAACACTATAGTGTCAGGAATACAAAACATGAATTCCTTACATTATAGTTCTAATAGTGCTGTTTAGATTGCCAGCCCCACTTGATCCCCGTTAAAAAGATGTCTTACTCGCCTTTTTTATTTGCGATGCACTGGTCTTGTCGCGGCTGGCTTCAGCCCACCTCCTTGACTGAGATCACCAAGTTCGATGATCTCAGTCAAGCATTGGGAGGCAAAACTCCACGTTGCATTAATCAACATCTCCTAATAAAGATGCATTGATTCATGCGCAATTTGGGGAACACATACAGCACTGACCCAGGAAACACTTCTAGTGGCCATCTGAGTGACTGCCAGCACAGGTGTTACTAGGTAGTAATGTAAAACATTAAAAAGACTGCAGGGATGGGCAGGAAACACCAGAACAAGTACATTAAGCTTTAGTTGTTCTGGTGACTACAGTATCCCTATAACCAGATGAAACTTCGTTCTCAAGAGAATCTAACCTATTTACGCTGGTTTGACCAGAATGTCCCTCCCTCTCCCCCCATGTAGGTTAATGTCTTCACCCAGTGTTATAAAATACTGGGCAACAATCTCACTCCTGACCCAGTTCATCCAAAATTTATCTTCTTAGGTGTCCTCTTGCCCTTACTCATGCACAGCAGCCTGTCTCTGCTTTACTAAGCTTTGGAAAGGCCCTTTTGTATTCCACATATTTTCTAAAATCTGGTTCCTATATTGCGTATCACTAACACTCTCTGCAAGCCAGGTTTAGCATTGAGCAGGCAGGGCCTTGTGTACCTGATTCAGCCCCTCCTACAGTAATTTTTTTTCAGCCTCTGTATCTTATGTCTAGATCAAGCATACTCTAGTCAACCTGCCTTTTTTTACCCCTTCTTATCAAACAGATTCAGATCACAACAAATGTCTTTTTTTTTGTTCTAATAATAATTGATGTGTATTGCTATAATATTTTTCTCATTTATGATTACAATTTATCATAATACTTTTTATATTTAATATGTTGTAAAAAGAAAAAAAACCTCACTAGGTTAATTTAAAGGCCAACTGATCTTTCTGACATTGTATAATGAAATATGGTGTAAGGCGGTCCACAGCACTTCATGTTATCCTTTACAATATAGCTTTCAACAGGGAAAATTGTACATTGAAAATAGACTTATGAAATGTCCACTGGTTTGAGCAGCTCTAGGACTGCCTACAATACAAGTCATCACTCACCTGCAGAGTTACCACTCTGGCTTTTGGATTTCGTACAGAAGGACCAGCTGTGACATAATCTACAGTCTGAAACTCAATAGGATAGTGCTGTGTACATAGCTCATCACCTGAAAGAGCAGATGGCCAGTGAGTGCAGAACTCTGCAAAACAAAAGATGCACAAACACATTTCTACAGCAGGAAGTGTTGTCAGAAATACACACACACACACACACCTCCACTAAGCAGGCCTGAACAAGTACTTCTTCACATTTTCTTATTTCCTTTACCAACTCAACAAAATGAACAGATTAGTAAAGCATCATTGGTTGTCTACTGTAAATGCTCTACTATTGCTATTTAAACATAAATCCCTATGAATTAAACTATAACAAACTAAATGCATTTCAAATAGACATCGGCCAAGAAAATGGCACCAAAAAATCAAATAAACTTTAACCTCTTAAGGACACATGACGGAAATATTCCGTCATGAATCCCTTTTATTCCAGAAGTTGTGTCCTTAAGGGGTTAAAGGTTGTGTAAAAAAAAAAAAAAAAAAAAAAACAGATACATGAAAAATTATTAAATGGACACTGTAGGCACCCAGACCACTTCAGCTAATTGAAGTAGTCTGGGGGCTATGACCCTTTTGCACTTAGTGCTGCAATGTAAAACATTGCAGTTCCAGAGAACTGCAATGTTTACATTGCAGCTCTAAGTCTGTCCTCTAGAGGGCTTCCGGAATCTAAACGGACTTTTGGCCCGTTAACGGACGCTGGACATCCTCACAGACCTCCAGCGTCTGATTTTCCCCATACGAAAGAATTGAATAATTCTCTCCTATGCGAAGGTCTAATGCGCGCGCGGCCATTTCCGCGCATGCGCATTAGGTGCCACCCGCCGGCGGAAGAGGAGCGTGGGCAGAGCCTGACCCAGCGCCGAGGGCCATCGGTGCTTGATTCAAGTAAGTGGCTGAAAGGGTTTTAAACCCTTTAGCCCTGTGGAAGTGGGGGGGGACCTTATAACCCTATAGTGCCGGGAAAACAGCTTTGTTTGCCAGGCACTATAGAATCCCTTTAAAGAAGAGCATTCAGGAGAAACATCCTATTTCTTTCTTAATGAACTGTTTCATCTTTATATTCTGCAGAATAACAAATTATCTAAACTGTAATATGTTCATATAAAATTATACTAACTATAAAAAAAAAAAAAAATCGTTCACTGACAAATGTAAAATTTCACCAAACCCTCCGAGCATTATCCTAATCAATGATCTCACCTCGTAGAGCTGCACAGTGTTGCTTTATGGCAACAGGGGTCAGGTGCAAAAAATTGGGGATCTGGAAATCAATGGAGAGAAAAGCAATAATAAGGTAAACACATCAAGGTCTGTTTATGAGGAGGAAAAAAAAATATATAAAAGCGACATGGCAGCAAATAAACTGAAAGCATTCAACAGGATGTGCGTTCACAAATTATAATTCACTTGCTTTACATAGTTAAAAATCCTCGGTAGCATTAGGGTCAATTATGTGGCGGCTGGCCAACACTTGTTAGCCAGCAGCCACATTAAAAATAAATAAATAATAATAAAAATCCCATGGAGGTAAACATATCGGCTAAACATTTAAAACTAGCAACTTGGCCCCAATTTTGCTAGAAATAACAGGGGGAAGGGGACATGGTCAGGAATGCCAGCAAGCAGGAGCCGTAATATTTATAACAGGGGGGAGCTAGTGTCCCCTCCCCTGGCCCCTACCCATGCCTGTGCTGGTGGCCTCAATATTTATAATAAGCTGGGAGACCTAGTGTCCCCTCTCCCAGTTCCCACCAATCCCCTCCCCTGGTAATCAACCCATGCTGTAGGGACCATAATTAATCATAAAAAAGGGAATTGGGGGGGGGAGGGGAGTTGGCTTGCAATAATAGTAAATTTTTCACCTGGTGTCTAGACATTTGCAACCCCCAAACCACCACAAAAACAACGCCCTTACTTACCCCCTCACCCTAATAATAATGACAAGAAAAAAAAAAAAAAAGCTTCAAAAAAATACCATCAGAAGTCTTCTCTCTTCCAATTCATCTGTCTTCAGCCACAAAAAAAGACCAAATAAAAATCCATAATACCCAACACTTGTAATTTATATTTTAAAAAGCCGTTGCAAAATAACAAAAAAAATAAAATAATCCATGTTAACAATGGAGGGCTTGACACCGAATGGCTGCTCTTAGTGGGGAAAGCCCTTTCAGGCTTCACTCACTATGATAGATATCACAAAGCGTGGGAAAGTTTCCCATGCTTTTCAATATGACCAGAAGCGCTCCGATTGCTTGGCTAGTAAATTAACCAATCAGAGCACTCTGATAGCCAAGTCTCAAGAGAAGTGCCCCAAATTCAGCCGGATGGTTTTGCCCCATTCCGTTTGGAGCCATTTAGACTTTAGTGAATAACCATGTTAAGACTGAACCTCTGTTTTCATCACATTTGACTTCCGACCATTTACCTTCACAAGCTCAAGATTCCCTGTCTTTTCAGGAGGGACACTGCCCTTTAGTGGGTATCCCATGCGAATGGGGAGTGGCACTGCTGAAGGTTTAAATGCTGCTGCAGTTGGATAAACACTAGTCCAGTCTTGATCTGGGAGCATCTTTTCTGTCCTTGGAGCAGGTGGCTATACAAAAAAAAAGAGAGAGATTTGTTTCAGTGGAAATTATTTGCACAAAGATTTGAAGAAATTGGAATGTCCTCCCAGCTCAGACCATGAAGGTGAAATGAAATGGAACTACAGGAAAAATGTATATGGATCTAATAAGCAAAATAAAACAATTTAGGACATTTTAGAGAATGAAAAGGCAAAAAATATGGACAATCTGTGCTTGACCTCTTCCTCTCCAGCAACCAATTGTAACTCTAGAAAAACTACCAAAGTCAACTGCGAGTTCATGCCGTGTAATAAATGGCAAAGTGAGCTAGAATATAAGAGAATTTGGCCTTCACAAGTCAATGCTGGCCATTCCAGTTGATGAAATGTTTTAGACTTTCTGCATATTTAGAAGAGTCATATAAAATAATAACTTGACAGCACAGAATCACAGAACCAGATACACCACACCAGAGAACAAACCTGCCTCATCAATAACAGTCCTGCCAAACCCAGTAAAATTGACAGGTATCAAACTGATTGGCCACGCATAAAAATTACCTGAATGATTAAAATAGCACTTACCTGTCTCTTTAACATGCCCTTCTGGAAAGGACGGTTTCCCCGTGTCACTGGAGCTGCTGGGAAATACACAACAGGAATAAGGAACTATATTGCAAATAACCCTCGTAAAGTTTGATGGACATATAAATGAGGGTTATTCACTAAAGTGAGAATTAACAGATATTCAAAGTGGATTTCACATTTAAGGTCAATGTAGCCAAACAGGAAGCATAGCTGACTTGGATAATTTTTCCAGTTCGGCTATTGTTGCCTTAATTTTGAAATTCACTTTGAATCCTGAAAATTCTCACTTTAGTAAATAACCTGCATGCGTACATACAAAAACATTCATAGCATTATCTGTTAGTTACATATATCTTCATATACTTATGGTAAACTTTATTGTTTTTATTAGCTAGGTACATGTTTTGGTAACTGCGTGTATGTAAATCAAAGTACACTAGAGGGTTTATTCACTAAGCTCCAAACTGCAGCAAATAAAAAGCCAAATGGCAAAATTTAGGTAAAATTGAAAACAATTCTCCAACTCAGATACAGTATCATCTTGGCCATTGCAGTCTCAATTTTGCAATTCCTTTTGCAAACTACCTGCAGTTTGGCGTTTAAACCCCTAAATTAATGCATTTATAAGTTAATCTTCAGGTTAGTAATGGACAACAGCAAACTACGAGCTTAAGCAATGATATATTTTCCTAAAAGAAATTCAGTGACAGGTTTTGGATGACACATGGACATGCCAGAGATCCTGTCAATGGCTTACATACAGTATCAGGCTAAAGGGACATACCATATGTATGTCTTACCTGGCTGAGGGACAGATAGACCTGTACTGTACCCTGGGCCCTTTTTGGGGGTCACACTCGAAATCCCCGAGACCCTCAGGGTCACACACACCCGGTTCAACATGGAGGTCGCCATATTGTAATCAGAGACGGAGCGTCACATGGACCAAACTACGTGAGAACGCGAATTGGAGGAGCCCAGGAGGGTGTGGACTGAGCTAGAGTCCGCTCGTCAATGGAGAGGGAGGATATTGCTGCTGTAGGAATGTAAGAAATATAAGGCGAAATAAAAGCGGTGAAATATGTGGAGTAGAGGGCGATTTTTGATAAATAATTTTATATAGGTTTGTTTGTAAGTGAACATGTAAACAATTAAGCACTAATTTGCTTACATCACTTCATAGATTTAAATAAAATAGTTTACTAGCTATTGGTTAGCAAAAAAGGTAAAGTTACAGAAGTATCACGGAAGTAATTAGTTATGTTTATTATCCTCTATAATACTCCACCAAATATGGATTGGAATATTTAAAGGAACACAATCGTGATAATCTGATTTTATTTATTATATATATATATATACACATACACACATTGTGTTAGTTTAATATACCTTTATTAGAGGCAGCACCAAGACAGTCCTTCCTTCATGATCATCAAGTTTGGTAACTTTTCGGTCAAACAAATGCTTCTCATAGAGAAGAATATAAGACAAAATACACATGAGCGGCATACTCTGCCAGTCAAATGCTTCTTATGGATAAACATTGAACCCAATGCTTATCTCAACACAGAAACACTCTAGTTAGAACGTTGTATCTCTGAAGCTACAATGATTTACATTACCCGAGTGACGTGACAGAGTCACTGTACAAGACCATTCGTTAAAATGAAGAGATCTCTGTGCTGCCCTTAACAGTATGGTCAGAAAACCATCCAGGTCTGCACGATTGGCCCTAAAAGTCCCTGAAATAGTACAAAATTAATTGAGGAATAACGTCCTGAACATTTCCTGAATTAATAACGATTATCATAACTATATGATCCCTCCCTTTTCCCTGAATCCTGTGTGTTGGTTAAACAGGCCGGGTGTGGCTGCCAACCCACTTCTTTTCCCTGTCCCAGGATTCTGGGATGGTGTATGAAAATATATATGGGGCTCCTGTGACTGACCACCTTTCCAAGAGGTATTATAGCAACAGTCACTCCTTGTTAATAGTGGAGCCAATTAACTTTCTTTTGTTTTATTACAAATATTTATTAAACTCAAAATGTCTGCTCATATGCCTGTAAAAAAGAGAATCTAGATATCCAAATGTCCCTTCAATATTGCCAATTAAGAGGCTATTCAGTTAATTGCAGGTTTTTAATATCTGCCTGAACAGCAATAAAAATGGAGGTGCACTCATGGAGAGTACCATTTTAAATTACAGAATGAGGTGCCCAAGCTACATTCAAATGCACTCACACCTTTATAAATCACTTATACATTTAATGAGCAAACCTAAGCAAGTTACAATATCATATCACTGGATTCTGGAGTCTTTTTCCACTGCTCACAGAAATCCCTGTTCAAAATGAAAAATAATCTCTCCTAAATTCATAAGACAATGAATTAATAAAAGACACTTACAGGGTTTTACGCTAAACTGAGAATTGCCAGGAATTCAAAGTGAATTTCAAATTTATAACCAAAAGAGCCCAAGTGAAAACAGAATCGACTTTTTACAGTTTAGCCATTTAGGCCTAAGTGTTGAAATTCACTTTGAATTCATTATGATTTCGCAGCAATTCACAATTTCGTGAATAACCAAGGTGAACACATATACTTCACAGACACACTTACACTTTAAACAAATACAGTCCTGCTTTCATACGTAACCTGTGCAGTAAACTTTGTGAGCATCAAAACTTTTTGAGAAAATTTTATACCTGCCTACCAACTTAGAACTCAAAATATTAAACCTTGTGGTTACCATATACCCCGAGACAGCATCATTCCAACAGTGCATGGGTACATTCTTGCTAGGGCTGGTTTACCCACTTATTTCACACAGGTCCTCTGGTAGGTTCTGAACTGCATGGTTCAGAAGAGGTAAGGAAAACTGAATTGTTAGTCCCAAATATTACCAGTCTGGTACTAGTTCCCATAGTCCACTGAGAGGGTCACCGTGTTAAAGGACCACTCTAGGCACCCAGACCACTTCAGCTTAATGAAGTGGTCTGGGTGCCAGGTCCTTCTAGGGTTAACCCATTTTTTTATAAACATAGCAGTTTCAGAGAAACTGCTATGTTTATGAATGGGTTAAGCCTTCCCCTAATCCTCTAGTGGCTGTCTCATTGACAGCCACTAGAGGCGCTTGCGTGCTTCTCACTGTGATTTTCACAGTGAGAGCACGCAAGCGTCCATAGGAAAGCATTGTAAATGCTTTCCTATGCGACGGGCTGAATGCGTGCGCAGCTCTTGCCGCGCGTGCGCATTCAGCCCAGGAGGAGGAGAGAAGAAGGAGAGCTCCCCGCCCAGCGCTGGAAAAAGGTAAGTTTTTAACCCTTTCCCCCTTCCAGAGCCGGGCGGGAGGGGGTCCCTGAGGGTGGGGGCACCCTCAGGGCAGTATAGTGCCAGGAAAACGAGTATGTTTTCCTGGCACTATAGTGGTCCTTTAACTGTCACTCTGTCCGAAATGTGGAGGTAGCATTAATTGTAGGTGTATTCTTGTGAACTTGCAAATGCAAAGTAATTTGTGCATTTAGTCCTCATTTAAATATTTTTGGGTAGACTTTTTTTAAATGATTTAATATTTTTGGATAACATTGAAAAAATTTTTTAAACATTATAAACTGTAAAAAATATCTATCATGTATAAAAATATATACAAATATATCAAAATTTACAAAATGTAAAAAAATTTTTATAATATGAAATCATTTTAAAAGTTCATCCGAAAATATTAAATCATTTGGAACGCGTATTTAACAATATTAAATTGAGACAGTTGCTGTGGTGATCACTCAAAGATCCTTCAAACCATTGAAGGATGGGGATAGAGGACAGGCAAAGTGTGATAGCCCCTCCACTGCATTCAAGCTGCCAATGAAAATGGTGTTTTCTCATTTGATCTAACAACACCAATCCTTGGTGACACTATGACCCTAGCTTAGGTGTTGTGATGTGTCTTCATTACCAAACATCAAATGTTTTTCCGTGGCTCACTGTGAATTTGACAACAGAACCAAAGCTCCCATTTATAAATAATGTTTCAGTTTTCCACCTCAGGCACACAGATGTCAACACAATGAAATACTTAGCTGCAGGCGCAGGATATACGTGGGTGGTGGAAAAAAACAAAATTAGAGTAGCAATTGACAGCACAATATTACATAATTCATTGTAGTATTCACATCCTTGTGCTGCCTTTAATGCTACACACACCAGAGTAGCATTCCCTACACCAGGGGTAGGCAACCTACGGCACTAGTGCCATACACGGCACTCAAGTTGTCTTTGCACGGCACTCAAGGCTGCTAGAGCCAAAAGGGCTCTGGCCTACCAGAAGTCCCAGTGAAACTTCAGATATCTGCTAATACGAAAAGGTGGTGGAGGCCAATCCTCAATTTATGCATTGCAGCACATAGAGGAAGTGATCTCAGATCACTTCCTCCGAGCACTTGTGAATGGGAATCCACATTGTAGTAGAGCAGCCTGCAGCTGCTGTTACTGCTCCCGTCCTTGACCTGTACCTGGCCAGCCTGGTCCCCACTGGAACCCCTGAAGCCACCCACACTGCTAGATATACACAGAAATGCAGAATAACCCTCCCCTCATACAAATAATACGAACAGCCCACACACAAACATACACACAATCCGCACAAACATAACCCGCTAACAATCCACATACATGCACACAACCCCACATGCAGCCTCTCACATGCAATACCCCAAACAGCCCACACACACTACCAAACACACAATGTGACATATCCATCCACACACATTTCCACAAGCAGCCCTCATACACAGCCCACATTTATATGTATCATACACGATACCATAAACTACTAATAAACATATTCAATCTAATCGCTCATATACACACAAATACAATGATACAAAGCAATTACAGTATAAATAACACAAGCAGAATACGGCAACATACACACGTCAATTAAAAAAAAAAATATAGGATCGGCACGCTATGGGACATCACAATCCTATATCGGCATAGTGCTGCCAAAAGGTTGCCCACCCCTGCCCTACACTAACCTAGGGTCCTGGATCAGGTATGTGTAGTACCTGGACCTGAACTTTATTAAGTACAGGAGAAGTATATATGGCCAACACCATTTCAATAACCGGGCTGAACAGTTATAAATGTAACTGAGTAGTTGTACAATCCCAGGGGATGGAAACCTATGGCATGTGGGGTGCCTTTGTATGGCACACAATGCTGCCAGACCCTAATGAGCCAAATGGGAAGATCAGCTGGCCTAAGGCGCTCCAACATCTTGAGCTCAAGGGAGCCTGTGGTCTTCACCTCCAGCAATTGAAGACATCACAGGAAACTCTTCCTCATTTCCAACATCTCTCTGTGAATCCTTAATCTCCTATTTCTTTCAGTAGTAAATGAGTGTACTTCTACAAGCTGTCAGAAGCAATGTGAATGATTGACTGAAATTCCATTTGTGATTTTCAATCAATGGCAGGATTTTGGCAGACGTTCGGCTGCACAAAGGATTATGGGAGGTTTAGCAAAAATAATGCATATAATTAGGTTTATATTTTGGAAAATTGCTCCAGCAGGTGCCTAGAGTGTCATTTTAACTTTCGCATGTGCCAGTTCATCTTATAAACATCACTGGTTGTAAACACTGTTTCATATGTTGGGATCCTGTGAGCACTTGTCAACTGTAATTCCTTTGGTCTGAGAATGTGTGAATTCACAGATCAGGTGAGAAAAAGTAACAAAAGAAGCAAGAAAATTATCTATATCTATTAAATATATAAAATTAGATTTTTCTTTTTTTACTGCTCCTTATTTGGTCCCACAAGTAAAATTTGAAATCATGACCCCAAAGAAAGCATTGTGCAATTTGGTTGGTCCAGAATTTGGATGCTTCAGAGTTTGTGAATTTGGCCAATTGGACAAAATTCAACTGAAGTGGAGTTTATTCTGAAACCAATCTCCAAGTATATAAACACTACCTATAAATGCCTTCGTA